GTGGTCATTGGTTAAATCAAAACCAAAAAGAGTGTAGCCTTTAATATAGTCGTTGTAAGACATATCCAAATCTTCTTTGCTGTTGAGTATTCCTACTCTTTTCATCAAATCTAAATATGGTGTTGTGGCTTGTTTGTTTGGGAAATCCATGAAATATTCTTCCACCACATCGCCATTTTTCATCAGTTTGATGTATTCTAATCGATGATGATGGAACTTGAATGGATTCTTGATGGAATTGCCGTCGTAAGAATCGTTCTCCACCAAACCCAAAATGAGACGTTTAGGCAAGACTTCGTTGATGAATAAATTATCCAAAACGTGAAAACGTCGACGACTGGGTATGCTGATGTCTTTGACGACTACTCGTTTGAGTGGATATTTGGCGTTGTTCGATTGTAGTTGTTCAGCAATTCGTGTGTAGGTTGATGGTGCCAGCGTAACAAAAGGTACTTCCAAATAGGCTTTGATCAATTCCACTTTGTATGCTTCGTTGTTTTCGTTCCACATCAAATAAAATTTTGGTTGTTGTCTTTCCAATTGGATGCGAACATCCACACCATCTATTAAATAACGATCTTGTAAACACAAATCTACATGTAGTCGGGACTGCAATTCAAACTCTGAACTTTCACCCATCTTTTTTCTTCTTTCTCCCAAACCATGGTTAACAACGGGTACGATGGCATCACCAGCACCAGTTTGAACGGCTTGTGTACTATCTAATTGGCCTGCCGTGTCTTTCTCCCACATGACTTGTTGATTGAGTTGGTTGTTTTTGGCCCCACGACCAAAACTCAGCAAATTTTCCAAGTAAGCTCTGTAGGGATAATTGGGTAAGGATGCAGTCACCAACGTGTCGGAATCTTTTCCTAGGCGCATTTTCACATCTTTAAACAAAGAGTGAAAGAAATTGTTGACGGGTCCGACTTTTTTATTCGCACCGACATTCGTCCCATCCTCTTTGACTACTTTCAACTTCAGGTACAAACTAATGTTGGCCAAGTCGATGAAATCTGTACTTGAATTAGGAATCAAAAATTCCAAGGGACCATCATGGTTCAAATCGCTGGTCAGTGGATATTTGCGGACTTTGGTTACTTTGGTAACGGCTGTTTGAGTGTCAGGAACGGTAAACAGTTGTTGTAATTCATCAGGAGCACAGGGACAGGAATCATTACGCATCATTGAAGCCATGATCGAAGATATCTTTCTTTCTTCTCTTTCGTTTGATGTTGACAGATCGAGCTGCAGATGACTTTGTCCGCTTTCGTGGTGGTTGTCGGTCTTTTATACCTACGACAA